CGTCCCCCCCCCCCCCCCCCCCCCCCCCCTCTTCCGCTCTCTTCTTCTCCTTCCTCCTTTCAGGTCCCATACCCTCTTGTAACTCCCCTTTTTTTAGATCTCTCTATAGCAACATCAACCCAACAACCAAACTCTTTCAATCCTCCCAGATCTGGGCGCAAGCCTATAGTTCCATTTCAACCCTGCCTTAATCCCTCACGGACATTCCCCAATAAGTTGTCGTCGCTTCCCTCCACCACCACATCTTGTTGTTGTATTCCTAGTCCCCCATGTCGCCGACTATCCCAACATCCTAAATTCTCCCACCTGCCTCCAACCGCACTTGTACTGTTGCAGCCCACCCCCTGCCTCCCTTAACCACAACACCATCACTTTGACTTAGACCTTAGTTTTGGGTTTGTGTTGTTGTTTTCTGTTTTTCAAGTGTCTTGTTTGTATCCTTTTGAATTTTAGTAGTAACATTTTTATTTTTATTTTTTGTTTGGGTTAAATCCGGTATCATTTGGTATTAGAGCTTGTCTAATCCTAGTCCTATACTAGGGTTTCCTAGCATTTGCCATAACCCAAGAATTATTTCCTCTTGCCAAACACCTTTTTCACTACCACTTATCCCTAACCGTAATTCCCCCCTTGATTATTTTCAAAATTTGCAACCTTGAACCATTTATTTTTACCCTCTCACTGTCCAATCCTAAACCCTAGTCATGCCACCGAGGAAATACATGAGAGATCCACCAACTTTAGCGGAGACTTGCGAATTTTGAGGATGAAATTTTATGAGAGGTTACCTTCATTCGTGATCGGGTGAAAGGGAGAAAGAGAGAATATGAAAATTAAGTGGGAGATACAACGTCAGTTCCTACCATATTACTAAAGATAGAAACTTCAGATCCGCTTCAGAAGGGGAGAGACCCCATCATTGGTTGACTGGTTTATTTTATATGCAAAGCTCAACCTGAGGGTCTTACAGCCAGAGCTAACCCAGGAGAACGCCCACGATGACCTCGTTAGAGGAAGAGCTGATTCTGAGTGGATAACAGGTAAAACCAATCTGCATCCCTAAATCTGTCACAATCAGGAAGTGTTGTAAGTGCCACGAATTTGGGCATATTGACTCAGAATGCACGACCAAGGGTGTGATTTGTTTCTCTGAGCATGGTGTTGTTGAGAATTTTGGCAATGACACAGTTGATCTGGGAGAAGCTGAAAACTATAGAGAGGAATCTCAACTTGCAGCCAACGGGGAAGAGACGCTACTACTTCCAGTTGACCCCAATATAAAGATTCCAGCTTAGACAACATTAGTCATTCTAGAAGGTAGTGACCTCGATGCAATGGGCATTTAGGCAGAGTATGAAATTGTGGTACCTTGTGCCACTATTTCACCAACATTGAGAGGAACATCAGTAAGACTGATATTAAATGTCCAAAAGGGTTATGAGTTTGAAGAGTTGACCATAGATACGTGGCCACCACAGATCAGAGAATTGCAAATCTTTTAGATGTAAAAGACCCTTCCTAAGTTGCTCTTAAATGGGGAGGTCCAGCATGCCATAAGTGGGGTCATTTTGCATCATGTCGGGAATATTACCTGTGGATATTTAGAGGTTATTTTTAGTCCAATATGGTACCCATCACCAGATGTCCAAGCAGAAGAGGTGAACCCCAGCTTTGTAATGGGCTCTAAAAGCTTGATGGGGACAAAAATTATTCAATGAATCCAGGTCCTATAATAAGGAAGATAACCCTCCTAAGTGAGTGCTACTGAGAGTAGTGCAACATGCCACAGATTTCACCATAAATTTGATTTCTTCTCACATACTAGTTCATTAACTGCACTCAGTCGAATATGAATATAAGAAGCGGGTTAAAATTGGGATGGCTCCATACCTAATTCATGAGAATACTCTTATATCTACAGTTCCAACTTAGGGTGTGTCGAAGATGGATGTATTCTTATTCTATTATAATTTGTTTTGGAGCGCTGACACCTATTTGATCGACCTACTGGGGCACTTGAAGCTGTGCAGGAATGTTCGGGTTATTGTCACTGCATATCGGATTGAATCGACCTGGGGTTACTGTGGGAAGATTTAACTGGACATACATGGCACGTTGCCCCAAGAGTGTGTATCAATATGGATGTACTTTGCAAACTCTTCTGGTGTTTTAGGAGGCAGTGCAGCCGACAGTGGGATCCATGTCCTACTAGGACTACAGTTGAAGATTCGTCTGTCTTGAAAGATTACAACAGCTCCATCAACAACAATTTGCACCCAGAAGTATCGAAGAATGAGATTGAAGCCCTCCAATTCTGGGAGAAGGACACGGGGATTATTCTCCTTCCACCCCTACTGAACTGGGCAACCTAAACCGATTCAATTCCGACTAGATGAGGGTCAACCCATCCCAAGTATCGGGATTGCCGCCCAATTAGGAGCGGGCCCCACGTCTCCTCTTTATCAAAATAGTATTTATATGTGCTTTGTGTGTCTTAAGATTAGTTTATGTTATTTTCTGATCTCAGTTTGGGAGGATAGCCGTCAGCATCCTATTTTATTCTCCGAGGGTTGTATCTGACGGTTAGGGTGGTGCTCCGGTTGTATCCCGCTCCTCGGCGGCGATTTCCTTTTTCTCTTACTTCCACCTCTACCTCCCCTCCTTACCACCTACTGGTTTTCCCTGTACCGCCGTGTTCCCAACCATCAACATACTGGTGTTTTCCCGTAGCCAACATGTTTTTCCACTCCCAGCAGTATTTTCCTTGAACCAGCCCCATCACCTGTATAATCTAGTTGCACCAATTCTTTTTTGCATTATAGTCTGCATCCACAACCACCTCTCGTCCAACCACACACACGAACACACACGGAACCCCTTCTGTAACTCCCTTTTCCCATATCTTTCTTCAGAAACATCCACTCAACTGCCTAACTCTTTACATCCTCCCAGATCTGGCCGCAAGCCTGCCTTAATCCCCCTTAGAATTTCCCAACCTGCTATCGTCGCTTCCCTCCACTGCCATAAACTGTCGTTGTATTCCT